TGGCTGTGCGGGGTGTGGGGGCTGCCACGGAGCTGATGCAGCAAGTTAGATCATGGAGCACCTTACTCTGTCTCAAAGACCTCCCTTCCCTTGACCATTCCTTCCTCTGGGCCAGTCATTTTCCACTGGAGGCTCAAGTGTCCTCCAGTGGTGCACAGTCTCATTTGAGAGGCAACAGATAGGGTGGGTAGCAGGCCTAGGTCCTGGAGAGGCAATCATTAGAGGTGCCGGGCAACTGTTTGGGGGATTTTTTTAACTTTGTTATTTAAATTAGAAACAATCTTATTTTACATATCAATCCCAGTTCCCTCTCCCTCCCATCCTCCCCTGTCCCCCACCGACTCCCCTCCCCCATCCACTCCCCAGGGAGAGTGAGGCCTTCCATGGGGGAATCATCAAAGTCTGTCACATCATTTGGGGCAGGGCCTAGGCCCTCCCCCGTGTATTTAAGCTGAGAGAGCATCCTTCCACGGGGAAATGGACTCCAAAAGCCCATTCGTGCTCTAGGAATAAATACTGGTTCCACCGCAAGAGGCCCCATAGACTGCCTAGGCCTCCCAACTGTCACCGAAGCTCAGGGGCCCTGGTTTGGTCCTATGCTGGTTCTCCAGCTGTCTGGGCAACTGTTATCCAGTTAGATGGGTATTCCCAGATCCCTGCAGCCTTGGTCCTGCCCTACAAGCTGGCTCAGCTTAAGTGGTGAGCCCTCTTCTCAACAATTCCAGGTGGGGGTGGGGGTGGAGGTGAAGGGTCTACTGCCAAGGCAGGATTCCCTTTCCTTTCTCGTATCAGCTGTGATGACCGAGGAGGCGCCTCCAGGTGGGGCAGACATCCACTTCCGTTCAGTTCCACCTCCCTGCCCCCCATAGGGTTGGGGAAGGAGAGTTCCAGGATCAGAGTTCGGTGTGAGGTTCCCAAGGCCTTGTTTGTTCTCCACAGCACCAACCACACCCGCTGTGACCCAGCCCGTCCCAGAGCAAGGCCTTTGGCCCGGGACCCTCGGAAATTCAGTCCAGGTTCAGGGAGGTGGGACTTGACAGCAGTAGGGACAGCAGGATAGCCCCGGACTAGGAAACGTGGGTTTCAGCCAAAGCGGTGAAAGTAAAGAAGGTTCCCTCACTAGCCTCGCCTCTCCAACTAGGCTCCGCCTCTTCGCTCCACCCCCGAGCTTCGTGCCTTCTGCGCAGGAGCAGGCTCCTGTCCCCTCCCTCCCCGCGCTTCCGGCGGCCCGGCGCATCCTGTCGGCGGCTGGATGCGCGCCCGTGGCCGGGCCGGTGTGTGTGCGCGCCTCGGCAGAGGGTCTCTAAAACCGATGTCTGTGAGCTTGCCTCCTGACACCAACCAGCCTCTATTTCCTGGACGAGCCCGCCGCCCAGGGCGTGCCAGAGCAGGATCCCGAGTGACCGGATGCCGTGAGGCGGGCCAGATGCCAGCGCCGGTGAGACGGGGCGCAGCGTCGCGGAGTCTGAGCCCACGGCGAGCTGGCACAGTGGGTCGGGCTGCAGAGACGGTCACGTCAGCATCCATTCCGGGCAGCCTGACATCCTCGGTCCAACCTGGACGTCAGCACAACAGATAAAAATAATGGGTCTTTATCCGAGCGTGGTGGCGCACGCCTGTATTTCCAGTACTTGGGAAGTGGATGAAAGCAGGAGGATCGGGAGTTCAATGCCAGCATGGTCTACATGGGACCTTGCCTTTAAAAAAAAAAAAGTAATCGCTCATTAACCAGCCACGGAGCCGTGGTTATAGCTGAAGCCCAGTTTGGGCTGAAAACAGGTCTTGGCCCTGGCCCCAGGTTCACTGCCCAGTTGTCCCTTTCATCCCCCTTCTGTTGTACCACAATAGTTGAAGGATGTAGTGAGATTTCCCTACTTTGTTTACCCGGCTTTTGATAGACTAAGGCCTGCTGTGTCTTACTGACCCATAGACTTTTTGTCCCAGTTCCTAGTTATTCTCATACCCAAGCAGTCAGGTCAGTTGGGGGCCCTAAGCACTTAGAATGGGACCAGGGAGGTGGTTGTCCCCTTGTGCACCCACTTATGTGTCAGGTCTTCTGTTCAACACTGAGAGGGCCTGGTGACCTATACTTTTGAGCAATGACAGGACAAATTCAGTCTGTTTCTCTGCTAGGCCCTGCCCAGGTTCTGACTGTCTTTTAATTCCTGGCCAGGATTAGGAGCAAAGAGCCAGGTTCCAGAAACAAGTTTTCTTGGAGATGGTGTCATATATGGGAAGCAGAAAATACTGGCTCTTATGTATCAGACTCAGGCACCCACCTCTCCTTTTGCCCATGACCCAAGTTTCTCCTATGTACAGCAGGTGTGGGCAGAGAATGCCCACCCACCCTGATACCACTAACAACCTATTATTACCCACACCATGTTCCAAGGTCCCCTGAGGCTGTATTAACTATAGCCTTCTGTTTATGTCTCTGGAATGACCCACACAATGGGCACCCCACTTTGCAGATAAAGATACTCAGGCAAGTGGGAAGACACTTGGTTTTGTTTTTTTCCTACTACAGCTTTCCCAAAAGATCGGACAAAAAAAACTGCAACTAGCAGAATCACAGCAGCAGCAGATCCCTAAAGACAGGCCACCCTCATCCCTGGGCCTACAGCGGAGCATCTACTTCTCCAGTCCAGAGGATCACCCTGCCCGGCTGGGACCAGAGTTTTTTGACCAGCCAGCGGTCACCCTGGCCCGTGCATTTCTGGGACAGGTAATATAAATGCAGGTGCAGGTTCCAGGAGCCCTAGTCCTGTCACTCACTACTTGTTCACATCTCTGATTCGCCTTTGTTGTGCTCACACAGGTAGCCATCTTGTCCACATTGGCCGCGGATAGTTTGGTTATTGTCTAGGATCACTGCAAAGAATAAGAATATTGATAGGGGTGTTCCTTGTGGCGGTAGCAGGGCCACTGGCAATAATGGTATTATGTATTGGCCCCAGCATCTCTAAGGAGCCACTTTTGCCAATGGCTGGGGCCAAGGATACCATTAAGTTGCCAGTGTCTGAATCACTTAAAAGAGCTGGTCTCCACTGCATGGCTCAGTATGGGTCCAGGATCTGGGCTGGGCCAGGCATGCCTGGCGTGGGAAGTGGGGACTACCCCAGACCCAACCTGGTGTGGCCTATAATATATGCACATGATGGAGCTGGCCGTGTTCGTTTACAGCACCCACTATTCCTAGGTGCCAGAGCTGGTTTTAGGAGGTTTCCTGGCCCACCTTTTTCTCCTAACAAGCTTCCCTTTAGGGTAGCATGGCCAAGGACATCCGGTTTCTCTAATGGAAGAACTGGTGCTAAGAGTTCCATGTTAACAGGAACAGACCCTGAACAGAAGGGACTTAATTCTGTTGTCAAGGATGTGTTCTTTCTAAAAGCCCCATAATAATCAACATCTATGATTATGACAAACAACATGGTTTTTTTTTTACGTTAGGTTTAGGTCAAGAGCCCAAGGATGGTCACCACCACCATACATCTGCCTCTGTTCAGCATCCTGGATATGTCAACGGGCTGGGCTCCCTGTCATGCCTGCTTGAGCCCATATTGGTAGACAAGATGATGTCTGGCAGGGAAAGGGGTATTTTTTAGCCTGTGCATTCCTTTGGTCAAGGAAAACCCAGGTGTGGGTCACAAGCTCAGTAAAGATTCACTGTAGTGAGTTGCTGGGACAGCAAACGGCTGTGGACTGAGGATCGTGTTGCCTTCCCAGGCCCTCCACCAGAAAAGTCCTGGGAGCTCCCTCCAGCTCAGCTGGGGTGCCCCAGTGTGCCCCTTGGAGATATGGGAGCATGCAAGTATAGTTAGTGAAGGAACACTCCCTGACCTTTTTCTCCTTCCAAAACATTCATTCCTGTCTTCAGTGTTTTGGGTTCTAGAAAGGATTTCCAGGCTTCCAAGACAAGCACTGACCCCTTCTTTTCCTCCACTCTGCCTGTTACATTGACCCTGAGGCACCATGGGTCAACCTGGACTGAGATGAAGGTGCCTTCTGACCAAATAACCCCTCAAACCTAAGGATGTGAGGTGCTGTTGACATGGCTGGATGCTGAAATCCTTCCATGAGCCCTAGTTAAGACAGCTGGCCATTCTTAGGATCATGGACCAGGCTAGGCACTACATGAGCTGGCCCCGCTGGTCCTGTTTCTCATTAAGGTCAGCACTAGTAGGCAGTCTCAGTGTAGATCCTTTGTGGCTATCCTAGTTTAACAAGCACATCACAGAATCTGAATATCCCAGGAAATGTGTAGGGACCCCTTGGGGCCACTGAACATTTAAGGCTCTCAAGGGAACGGTGGGAAGAGGATGTGGGAAAGCCAAGAACGCCACTGAGGGGAATTTGAGGTCAACCTGCACAGTGAATACAAGTAAATTCTCAAGATGTGGTCAGAACCCTTAGTGAACAACAACAACTATAGTTGGTCAAGAAGGGGTGGTGACCTTAATATCAGCATTCAGGCTCTGAGCAGGAGCAAAAGAAGAGGCAGAATGGAGGAACCAGGTGGCTGGGTCTCTCTGGGCTTGGGTTCCTGGTACATCCTGAGCTTAAGAGAGGAGGTCTAGGTGGGGATTTTTCAGCTTGGTTGACCCCCTTTCCTATGGTCTGAGCAGACTCACTGCCCACAGGTCCTTGTCCGGCGACTTGCTGATGGAACAGAACTCCGTGGACGCATTGTAGAGACTGAGGCATACTTGGGGCCAGAAGATGAAGCTGCTCACTCAAGGGGTGGCCGGCAGACTCCCCGAAACCGTGGCATGTTCATGAAACCTGGGACCCTGTATGTGTACATCATCTATGGCATGTACTTCTGCTTGAATGTCTCCAGTCAAGGTTAGTGGTGCTGGGCTTGGGGAAACAGGCAGGCTACCAGCTGGCCAACACCCTGGAAGACTGAGGTAGACAGGCGTTTGAGTAGGGAGGTGCCATTGTGGGCTAAATTGGGATTTCAGGGGTTTTGGCTGTTCTTGACAGGGCAAGCCTGGCTAAAGCAGCTGAGGCTACATAGCACGGAGGCGACAGGGCCAACCTGCATGCAGAGCAGTCAGGTTCTATGGCCAGAGTTCAGAATGATGATTTTGGTTCTGGGTTAGATTTGGAGTGGGCCAGGGGGTAGGAAAGTGGAAAGCAAGAAACTGGTTTGGGGTAAGCTGGGCTCATACAGGAACCTTGCCAAAAGTCCTATTCTGGGATCTGGTTCAGTTACTCTCATCCAGGAGCATCTCTGCTCCCTTAGGAGACATCAGGCAATGTTTGGTAGCATATCTGGTTATCATTACTGGCTAGCATCTGGCAGGTAAAGGCAGGGGTGCTGCTAGAAACCTGCAATGACCACACAGGACCTCCTGGCCCCATATAGCATTTGTGGAGGGATGTAGCTGCAGTGCTCCTGGGAGAAACTGAGTCTCCTGAGGTCCAACGCTGTCCTGACAAGCATGTAGCCTTGTGTTCTCAGTGGTTGAGCCTGACGAACCAGTACCATCCTACCAAAGCCACCACTGGTCCAAAGTGACCAACCAAATGCTCTTTGTTTGTTGGACAAATACTTGTGATGCAGGGAATTGTGGGTGCCCATAACAGAAAGCTGAGGGTGTCCAGTGCAGGGAACTTGGGAGCTGGAGGTGAGTGGACCACAAGACTGGCTCTGTGCTTACCACAAAGCTGATACTGAGTGACAGTATGGATGACTAGACATCAAAAGATCATGAGAGGCTGGAGAGGTAGTTCAATGCTTAAGAGCATTGGTTGCTCTTGCAGAGGAGCTGGGTTCCCTTCTCAGCCCCCTCAGTTTACAACCATAACTGTAACTCCAGTTCCAGGAGATCCAGTGCCCTCTTCTGGCATCTGTCAGCACCATGTGTACAAGTGGTGCAGACATACATACAGGCAAAACACCAGTATACCTCCTCTTCCTCTTCTCCTCCTCCTCCTCCTCTTCCTCATTCCCTTCTTCTCCCTTCCTCTTCTTCCTCCTCCTCCTTTTTTTTTTTTTAAATTAAAAAGAGAAGAGAGAAAGATGACAAGCCTTCCTGGACAGAACCAACCCTATTAGTATGGCTTAACTAAGGAATTAAAACCTAAGATGGTTAGTGCTGCAGTCTCTGAGGGAGAAAAACAATGCTGGTTCCTGGGGCATGGTGAGTAAGGCAGACGCAAGGATGACCAACTGAAAGGCCCCCAAGAACATCCAGGTTGGGGGCAAATTCCCACAAGGATGCACATGGTCCTGATGAGGGTCATCCATGTTGAGTAGAGGCTAAGGACATGGGTGTCACTGGCAGGCAGCCAGGTGTGACTGCTGAGAGTTTGGGAAGAGGATGAGGGTTTGAGGGCCAAGCAGGGCAGATGTCAGAATGCCAAGTTAAAGCAGATGTGTAGCAGAGTTAGGCAAGGACATGGAGGTCAAAGCTGTTTGCATGAAGATGAGAGGGAGCGAGGATAGCATGGGATGATAAAGTGGCCCTGGGAGCTGAGAGTAGGGATCATGTGCCCTACACTCACAGGACTATGTATCCTGCTTCTCTCTGAAATGACAGAAGTCCCAGGTGATGAGCTAGGTACAGCATGGGAGGAGGGATTCAAGGGACTGGACCTTCCAGGATTTCTGTATCATATTTGCATTAGGTCTGAGACTTACCATTTTCTAGTAGAGTGGCGTTCTACCCCAGAGGTGCTGGCTCTCTGGGGCTTTCTATACCATCCTTGTAGCCACTACCAGTCAAGACTAGAGGAAGCCAAAGACTCACCCACACTAGTTGATCATAGTTCTGGCTTTGAAGAGCAGTGGTGAGAGTCTGTCAGTCTTGCCTGGTAGAGGCTTCCCAAGGTTCTTAGGGAAGACTTAGCAGCCTAGTTGATGTTACAGGGAAGAGGGGGCAGAGGGGTCTGGATATCTGGATGTAATGAATACCAGTTTACATGTGCAGGAAGACAGCAGCACCCCTGCAACACTGGGTATGTGCAGGTCTGAAGTTTACTTCCAGGCTGTCTGTCTGTCCCACAGGGGCTGGGGCTTGTGTCCTGTTACGAGCACTAGAGCCCCTGGAGGGCCTGGACACCATGCGGCAGCTTCGCAGCACCCTCCGGAAAAGCACTGTCAGCCGTACCCTCAAGGACCGTGAGCTCTGTAGTGGCCCCTCCAAGCTGTGCCAGGCCCTGGCCATTGATAAGAGCTTTGACCAGCGAGACCTGACCCAAGATGAGGCTGTGTGGCTGGAGCATGGCCCCCTGGCGACAGGCAGCCCAGCTGTGGTGGCAGCAGCTCGCATAGGCATTGGTCATGCAGGGGAGTGGACCCAGAAGCCACTTCGCTTCTATGTCCAGGGCAGCCCATGGGTCAGTGTGGTAGACAGAGTGGCTGAACAGATGTGTCAGCCTCAGCAAACAGCCTGATGGGCTTTTTTATTGTTTAAAAGTAGAATAAAAATCTTATTTGTGGGGAACTGTCCAAGTCTCAGCCAGAATTTGTGTGCATGCAGTTAATTATTCATCTGGGTCAGGAAACCTGGGTACCCGATATGTATGGCACCAAAGAGGGGAGAGTCGTCAGTGTATGGGTATATACACCTAGGAGCAGGAATGAGTTAAATGAGTGTTTTGGACACTCCAGGGCAGCTGCATAAGGGGCAGGCTGGGGAAGGGATCAGAAAGACAGAACCTGTGTGTGTGTAAAGGGCTTAGACTTCAGAGACACATCTTGGAAGGCCTTCTCCACCTCAGCAATGTAAGGATGCTGTGAGGACCAGATTGAAGAGTAAGCCTAGTGGGGCTGGAGAGATGGCAATGGTTAGAAGTGCTTCCCGCTCTTCTCAAGTTCCCTTTCCCAGAGGCTCACAACCTCTGTAACTCTAGCTCCAGGGTATGCTTTCTTCTGACCTCTGAGGACACCCACACACACAAAAGCATTAATAAAAATAAATATACATATATTTTTTAAAGTAACATTGGTGGCTTATGTCTGTAATCCTAGCACATGGGGACAGAGGCAGGAAGATCAGTTCAGAGTCATCCTTGGCTACATAGAAAGTATAAGGTCTGGGCTACATAAGACTTGGTCTCAAAACAAAAAGTCCAGCAATGGTTGCACCATAGCTGTTTCTGATCAGACAGACAGCTGGAACAAGAACCGGTTCTGCCAGGCTGGGGTTGCCTATCTTCCTAAGGTCAGTCAGGAGCTCTGGGGCAGGGAGGGGGTAGGCTAGTTCCCATTCACACTGAGCATGCTGCCTGGGCTCATGTGAGCAGTGCCTGGAAGACAGCAATGACGGGGTCCTCATGGGTGGTCACCACCAGCACACTGCGGAACTTGTCAAAGAGCGTGAGCAGCTGGGAACGTCGTGTGTTCTCATTGTACATGATCTCCTCCAGATGGTGGCGGCCGCGGAAGTAGTGAAGGAGCCTGGAGGAGAGAGGGTGGCATGAGCCTAGCCCAAGGCCAGTGCTACTAAGGACTCCAACAGCCATTGGTGGGTGGATCTGTAAGCTGCCTGCAGGTTTGTGAAGAGCTGTGGGCTGGGCCAAGCATCACAGACCTTATGTCCACCAATCCCCCAGTGAGTGGTGGTAGGCCTGAAGTGAGTCCACACAGCGGCACAACTATGCAAACCTAGAGCCACTTCAGCATGCACCCTGATGAAGGGAGGAATGCTACTGGCTTCTTTCTATTCTCCCATGGCATTGGGTTCAGTCTGTGCCAGGGGGATTTCTGTAGTTGAGTCCAACACAAAGAAGGCCAGGGAACAGGAAAGGCCTGGACCAACATTTGGAAGAGTTGCAAATGGTCCTCTAGCAGTCTGCAGTGTGATTCTTAGAACACTGAACACCAACAACCTGACCTCTTCCATTATGCCCGTACAACACCTAAGTCAGGTTGGATATGACAGACATCAAGCTGCTATGACCCAGGGTCCTAAGGTTCCCCAGGACCAAGAATCTGGACATATTCCTGCCAAGCTCCCAGTGGGTCAGAACCTGAGAGCAGCTGCCTCTCAAGCAGTGGCAAGGAACACTCAGAAGTACGAGTAAGCAGCTAACTAGATCCAGGGGTGTGGCCAGAGGCCCACCTGGACAATAGCTCCTGCCCTTCACACACCAATCTTAGGAGAAGAAGAGCCCACCATGAGCTGTGGTAGTAGGTAGCTGTGCAAGGATACCAGCACTTCCCTGCAGTTATCCATATCACCTGTTATCAGTCACCTGCTCCCTACCTGGCAAACATGCGGAGGTCCTCCGGGTTTTGGGCTGCAGGTACACTGAGGATGGCAGCCCGCTCATGCTCTGAGAGGCTGGCCAGCAGATTCTCTGTCATCCTCTTGTTCAGTGGTGAGTCTCCACTGGGGAGCAGCTCTGCACTGGAGTTGTCCATACTGGGGCTGGTAAGGGTCATGTCATCACTGCTGGCTGTGGGTTGGAACAGCCAAGTGATGCCAAGTATGCCAAGATGCAGAGCATCAAAGGCACTGACAGCATCCAGATCCTGAGGTCACTGCCACACTCCCCTCTAAGCCTTCATGCAAGAACTTACTGCCATCCCACCTCCTAAGTGTGTAGTATGCCTCTTGTGTGGCTAACCTGGAACACAGGAGCTACCCTTATAAGAACAGAAGAACAGAACAGAAGAACGCTGCATGCCCACTATACCCTAAGGCAGGCACGGTGTCTTGTCCCACCTTAGCCAACATGGGGATGAAGCACATGGACCCCAACAGCAGATAGCTGTGTTCCCTGTGATGACAGTATGAGGTCCTGCTCTGAAGACGGGCTGGAGTGGGGGAAGTCTAGCTGTGCTGCAGTGGGCAAAGGCTTCTGACTACAGGCAGCTGCTTAGGGGCAAAGCCTCCCCTTCAGACCCACAGCAGCACAGGAAAGACAGGAGGAAGAGGTCTCCACAGGCAGGAACAGAGGCAGCTGAGTGTACAAACATGAAAAGACACCTCTTATCCCAACAGTGCCCAGGCTTCCTGGATGCCATCACCAAAGTCTCCCAGCCCCCCATTACCAGACAGGTGTCCTGGATGGGGATCCTACTTGGGGAGCCGAAGCTTAGGGCATTTGGTGTGCTGAGGCTGCGGCCACCAACTCGGGCAGTGAAGGGGACGTCATCCTCTCGAAGTCGGGGCTCCTCTTCACTGGGTGAGGCCATTAGGCAAACATAGGTGTGCAGTTGGATGAGGAGCCGGCGCTGCAGCATCCACACCACCATTTGGATGAGCTGGGTCTATGAATGAGCAGAGTAAGAAAGTGTGGGCTGATCCCCTGACTACAGTCTTGATCCTGTTCCTGGCCCTTAGCAGCCCCAATACCTAAGCAGGAAGGCCTCCTATCTGGAAGAAGGGACCCTCAACTGCAGGGTAGCCCTGCAAGGTCAGCTTACCCCAGGGAAAGCAATGGGGCCAGAACTCCCAGACCACATTTGTACTAGCCCCCATCACACACCTGGGCTTTTTCCCTCCTCTGAATTGACTTTCCCTACAGCCATGTGTGTTCTTGCAGCCCTCATTCCAGCCCACTGAGAACTGCTGCCATTAGACAGTCTACTGCTGGGCAAGCCCCACACTGTTAAGAGAAGCAACTGCCCTATGAGTCCTTGGCTCTACCTGAAAGTCTGCTCCAAGAACAGAAATGATTCCAGAAAGAAATGGGGAATGGATCTACTGCTCTAGTGTGGTAAGGCACAGTCAGGCCTTGCAAGCACTGGCCAGGCAGTAGCCAGCACCAATGGAAAAGCACCTCTCAGGCACAGATACCAAGCATTTGGTATGTGTAGACAATACCAATGTCCTCATCTTTGGGAGGCCCAGAAGAGCTGCTGTTCTGGTTACACATGGAAGGGGGTTGGATTACTGGGGAGGAAGATATACATACCAACCATGGTCAAAAACCAAATAAATTTCAATAGGAATTCAAGCTATTGAAACATAAAATGTAAAAAATAAAACACAAAAGCTTCATAAGCACTAGACAGTATGTCCCCGGGATGTGGCAAACCAAACAGCTCCACCCCAGTCCCCTGACAAGGCCTGAAACAGCTGCTCAGACATGGCCTGGAAGATCAGCCGTTATCCAGACAACTGGGAAGTTTCTGCTGGAATGGGAGCTCTGCCAGACCCTCCCCCAAGAACTGCCTGGGGGAGAGTAGGGAGGGTACAGATGCAAAGTGTATCTTTTCATCCCCCTGGCTCAGTTCCTGGAAACCAAGGGCTCTGTGAAAGGCAGCTTTAAACTCTGGCACACTCAGCATGTAAATGAGTTGAAAACCCAGGATCTTATTCCCATTCACAATTTGAGAAGGGGAAGTATTTGACTTTAAGGGCTGATTTTGCCCAGTGTATCTGGCACCTAACAAAACAAATACTTTGCTTTTGAAGATAAAGCATGGAGCCCACCCAGCTTGTCTCAGACACCTGTCCTTTCTCACTAGATCTCTCTTGGAGCTCAAAGCAGTTACTAGAGTGGAGGGGCAAAACCTCTCTGCTCCAAGTCACCATTTTATCCTCTCTTGAGCATGGGCCTGTGAACAGTGACTGACCCCTGTGGCCTACTGCACCTTCAAAAGCACCCCACCACAACTAGTACCCAACTGCCATCCTCTGCCCTGACCCAGGCCTACCAGGCAAGACACGGTCCTAGCCTGGTGTACTATAGATCTTAGGAAAAGGACTCTAGGCGCAGAGGCCCTAGGATTCCACACAAAGATCCCATGGTTCCTAAGCCCCCAGAGGAAGGGATACAGGAACTAAGCTGTCTTGGAAAGCAGGGCCCAGGCTTAGTGGAAACAAAGCTGTCTGCAGCCTCTGTCTGTGAGAAGCCCCTCGGTCCAGGAGGCAGCACAAGAGGATCCTGTCAGCCCAAGAATAGCCAGTAATACCCTTCTGGCAAATTTAACCCAGTCCTAGACCAGAGGATACCCATGGACCACAGGAAGCCTGCAGAATTTAACCACAAGTCTCCCCAAACCAAGGCAAAATGTCAACAGTGCTAAGGGCCTTTAAGTCAGGGGCCACCAGGCAGGAAGTTAGACCCAGTCCATCTCATAAGCCACACAGGGGCTCTAGTGACTTACCTCCTGTGCAGGGGGAGCCAGAGGGCTCCTGAACTCCGACAAAGAAACAGGCAAGGAGAACTTAGCCAGGATAGATGGCAGGTCATGGGACGGGAACTGTCGAGAGAACTGCTCAGCCAGTGGGGAGTACCTAGGGCAGACAACTGTGGTCACAGTGCAGTTTCCCAGGGTTACAGCAACCATCTGGGTAAGCATAATGACAACAGAATGAAGTATGGTGACCCAGCAGGCCTTCAGATGGACAGAGTTGCAGGCACTGTCCCTCAAGATGTGGCAGGAGCCACAGAACCCCTCTGATCTCAGCCAGGAAGAGATAGCCTTAACGTGGGCAACACCAAACCAGACTGGGATCTATACCTGAGCATGCCATTGGCAGCATCAGGATACAGTTAGAGCTGGCCT